GTGTCAATAACAGTTACCTTGCTGTTCATAGTTCTGCTACTGTTTAACCCCACAGAGTCCCTTCCCTTCTTGGGACCTCAGTTTCTCCAGCTATAAAATGAGAACATAGGACATAGCACTAGATGATCAATCCCAATCGATCATGCTGTGCTTTCATTGCATCCAAACATAGAGCAGAACTGTGAGAAGAACACAGACTCTGGGACTAGAGAGACATGGGTTCCAATCCTGGTTTTGCGACACACTTGCTATGTGATTTGAGACAAAATACCTAACTTCTCTGAGGCTCAGTTATCTCATCCATGAAGTGGAAAATAAATAGAAATCCTTACCAGGCAGTGCTCATGTAAACTGGAGATGAAATAAGTAAAACCTCTATCAGAATCTAAGCAAAGAGACCAACATTAAATAAAAGGCAGCTATCATCCTTCTTACACATTATTCAAAAGATTGCTGTCTCTGGGTAGCAGGAGGAGCATGTAAGAGTCTGGGCAAAGCTTCCAGCAAGGAGGTCCAGAAATCATGCAGAGAAGGAGCAACCTGTACCAAGTACTTTTCAAGCAAAATTCAGAAAAGGCTGACTGGTGGGGAATGAGCTCCATCAGGACGTGAGCTAAGCAAGACTGCCCCTCAGCTATCTGGGGGTTCCCAAGTCACAGAAGGTTTAATCAGTAACCTGAAAAATAGATGAGGTAATTGGAAGGCAAGGAGAGAGATTGGGTATTTAGTTTATTTATATGACTACCCCACACCAGCTCCAAGGATAAAGAGTACCCTTACATGGCAACTACAGTCAACAGATTTTACCCACTTGAACTGTGGACTTGGAGAAGACTTGATTCAAAGAAGGGGAATCCCAGTAGCCTCCTCTACACCCTCATTAGACAGGTGCCACCTCACAAGCTGAACCAGGAGCAGTTCCCTTGCCAATCCCCACCTAGCTCCAGAGTAACTTCCTCTTCCTCCCCGCTTACATTCCTTTTTCTCCTCTTACATCTGCTCTTCTCTACCTCGGGAAGCCTGATTTCTCCACCCTTCCCAGCATTTCTGAGTCTAGGCTCTGCACATTGATATCTAATGACATAGCACTAAAAAGCCCAGTGTCTTCATCTTATAACTAAAAACTAACCCTGAAGGAGGGGAGAAGAAACTGAAGGTGGTAAAATCATCACATTGCTGGTAAAATGCATAGGCACCAGTCAAGAGCAGTAGCAGTTTGAATCAAAAAGCTGGGCAAGGAGGAAGTAGTACTCTGGGAATCAGTCCCAACTCCAAGACAAATTTCTATCAGCCTTATAGGCAAGAGCATGTTTACATTGAGTTGTATAGAAATGTATGTGCAAGACCATTCAATGAGGAAATAGTCTCTTCAACAAATAGTGTTGAAAGAACTGGATATGTGTGAAGTTGAACCCCTGCCTCATATCATATACAAAAATTAACTTAAAATGGATCAAAGATCTAAATATAAGAGCTAAAAGTATAAAACTCTTCAGAGAAAACAGAGGAGTCAATCTTCATGATCTTGGATTTGGCAATGGATTCCTAGAAATGACACTAAAAGCATAAACAACAAAAATAAAAGTAGATATGAACTTCATCAAGATTTAAAACTTTTGTGTCTCAAAGGACATTATAGAATTGCATGGAGGACTGGGTGTGGTACATAAACAATGAATCTTAGAACACTGAAAAAATTAAATTAAATTAAAAATAATTAATTAATTAATTAGATAAATTTTAAAAAGAAAATGTAAAGAAAACCCACAGCATGCGGGCCGTGGGAGGGGAGTGGAATATTTGCAAATCCTGATAAGGGTCTAGTACCCAGAACATATAGAGAATACTTTTAATGCAATCCCTATCAAAATCCCATCCATTTTTTCCAAAGAAATGGAACAAATAATCCTAAAATTTATATGGAGCCAGAAAAGACCGCGAATAGCTAGACAGAGGAGTATTGATAAAGAAAGCCAGGTTGGTGGCATCACAATCCCAGACTTCAAACTCTATTACAAAGCTGTCATCATCAAGACAGTATGGTGCTGACATAAAAACAGACACATAGATCAATGGAACAGAATAGAGAGCCCAGAAATAGACCCTCAACACTATGGTCACCTAATCTTCGACAAAGCAGGAAAGAATGTCCAGTGGGAAAAAGACAGTCTCTTCAACAAATGGTGTTGGGAAAATTGGACAGCCACATACAGAAAAATGAAACTGGACCATTTCCTTACACCACACGTGAAAATAGACTCAAAACGGATGAAGGACCTCAATGTGAGAAAGGAATCCATCAAAATCCTTGAGGAGAACACAGGCAGCAACCTCTTCAACCTCAGCCACAGCAACTTCTTCCTAGGAACATCGCCAAAGGCAAGGGAAGCAAGGGCAAAAATGAACTATTGGGATTTTCTCAAGATCAAAAGCTTTTGCACAGCAAAGGAAACAGTTAACAAAACCAAAAGACAACTGACAGAATGGGAGAAGATATTTGCAAACAACATATCAGATAAAGGGCTAATATCCAAAATCTATAAAGAACTTATCAAACTCAACACCCAAAGAACAAATAATCCAATCAAGAAATGGGCAGAGGACATGAACAGACATTTCTGCAAAGAAGACATCCAGATGGCCAACAGACACATGAAAAATTGCTCCACATCCCTCAGCATCAGGGAAACACAAATCAAAACCACAATGAGATACCACCTCACACCAGTCAGAATGGCTAATATTAACAAGTCAGGGAATGACAGATGCTGGCAAGGATGAGGAGAAAGGGGAACCCTCCTACAATGTTGGTGGGAATGCAAGCTGGGGCAATCACTCTGGAAAACAGCATGGAAGTTCCTCAAGAAGTTGGAGATAGAGCTACCCTACAACCCAGCAATCGCCCTACTGGGTATTTACCCTAAAGATCCAAATGTAGTGATCCGAAGGGGCACATGCACCTGGATGTTTATAGCAGGAATGTCTGCAATAGCCAACTATGGAAAGAACCTAGATGTCCATCAACAGAAGAATGGATAAAGAAGATGTGGTATATGTATACAACGGAATACTATGCAGCCATCAAAAGAAATGAAATCTTGCCATTTGCAACAACATGGATGGAACTAGAAGGTATTATGCTTAGCAAAATAAGTCAATCAGAGAAAGACAATTATCATATGATCTCCCTGATATGAGAAAGTTGAGAGGCAATGTGGGGGGTTTGGGGGGTAGGAAAAGAATAAATGAAACAAGATGGGATTGGGAGGGAGACAAACCATAAGAGACCCTTAGTCTCACAAAACAAACTGAGGGTTGCTTCGAGGAGGTGGGTAGGGAGAGGGTGGTAGAGTTATGGACATTGGGGAAGGTATGTGCTATGGTGAGTGCTGTGAAGTGTGTAAACTGGCAATTCACAGACCTGTAACCCTGGGGCTAATAGCACATTATATGTTAATTAAAAAATTAAAAATTATATTTAAAAGAAAGAATTATTTCAACTCAACAACAAAAAAAGAAATACAACCCAATTAAAAAAAAAAAAAGTATGTGCCTGTAGGTCCAGACTAGGGCTGGGAGGTAATGGCATAGAAGAAAAAAATAATTATGTTAAGCTGAAGATATAGGTATTTTTTCCTTTAAAGAAAGTATAGTCAAATACAATGTATATACTTCATTTAGATTCTGGTTCAAACAAATCAACTGTAAGAAGACATTTTTTATATAATCAGGAAAATCTGGATATGGATCAGGTATTAAACCACCTAAATTAAGAAATTCCCCTGGATTTTGCTATGTGATAATAGCATAATGGTTATGTTTTTTTTTAAAGGCAAAGCTGTATTCTGAAAAATTCATAGCAAAATGACATAATGTCTGGGATTTGACTTAGAGTACTGCTGGGAGGAAAAATGTAGAAGAAATAGATGAACAAGAATAACAAAATGATAATCATTGTTAAAGCTGAGTGATAAGTATTGGTCCATTAGTGTTCATTATACTATTCTATCTCTGGGTGTATATGTTTGAAATTTTCCAAAATAAATAAAATTGCAAATGTTATTTAATATTGCTCTTGTCTTGGCTTTAAGTGACCAGGAAAATAAAAGCACTAGCAGTTGTTTTTTAGCACCCTACATAGCTAAAGCAGAAGGCTCATTTCAGATCCAACCTGACTCAAATTTCATCCAGGAAAGATCTTTCCAAGATGCTGAGATTGATCCAGTCTTACCTTTGGAAGGACAAGGAATAGGGAAGGACAAGAAAACAGAGGAAAACTGATCATACTCAATGAGAAAACTCTGATAGAGCAGTGAGTGCTTTGTAACACCCTATGTGGTCTCAGAAAATGCCACTTTTCTCTCAACCCTTGTATTTGGCAATGGATTCTTAGAAATGACACAAAAAGCATGAGCAACATCAGGGGGAAAAAAGATTAAAAAAAAAAAAAAAACAAGAAAAGCCTCGTGCAATGAAAAGGACAGTGAGGTGGAGCCAGAAGTTTGGGTTCTACTCTTGATTCAGGATCCTGTGCAAGTATTTTCAATTCCCAGTTTTCATTTCCCTGTCCCTAAAAGAAGAGGGAGAATTTCTGAAGTCCCTTCAAGAGTTGTGACTGACTGGCCTTGTTTAAGTGTATTAGAAACATCACCTAGAGCCAGATTCTGATCCCTTCAAGCACAAAGGCTCACAGCTAACTATAAGGTTGGAACCAGCCCTTAGATATTGCTAATTCCCTTTCAATGTTCTATTAAGAACAGTTTTCACTGAAACTCGAGCCTGTTTATGTTTTTAACCTTCCACATGATGGAGTGTAAGGAGTTCCCCATGTTGACTTCTTGATGCATGAAATAGGACTTTACCTTAAGAAGCAAGAAGACCTAAGGGACCAAGTTAATAAAACAAATACTACTGTGCCTTGGTGGGCCAGTATGTGCTGAGGAACAGGAGTGGGCAGGTTCTGAGACAGCTAATGCCCATCCCCAGGGCAGTAGACTCACTGAGATTTTGGTGAAAATGTAGAGTAACAGGGACAGAATAGAGAGGTAGATCTGGATCCGCTTGCCTCCAAATCGTTTCTTCAGGTACTCTGGCATTGTCACCACCTGCATGGGATGTAAGAAAGGTCATCATCAGCTAAATTGACCAGAAGACTCAGAGAAGAAGGGTCAGAGAAATCTGTAAGGTAGCCAGATGGCCCCATTCTTCAATCCAAACTCGATCCCATATGCCCTACCACTGCAAGGGTAGGGTATTATCCCAGGACACTGAAGATGCCCAATAGACACTTTTTTAAATGAACACATGAACACATGTGTTCGTGTGATCTGCAAGAAAGCAGATCTTCACCCTGAAGGAAGAGGAAATAGATATACATTCCTACACAGAGTGCCTACTGTGAACAAGTAGCCAGGCTGTGTGTATGGTTCTTCTGCTCTGCACACAGGCTTTGCCAAAGATTGTCACTGCAGTCCTGCTCAACTGTTCTCCCAGTTCCTTTCTGCAAATTCTGACTATACTTCTGTCTCACTCACTCAACCCTGAGCCTGCTGTCTTCTGGGATCACACACGTGTCACCAATAGTCCATGAGCCTCCAGAAGATGTAGAGTCTGTCCTATGTTCTTTCTGTATTGCTTTCAGCTCCTAACGTAGGTATTCATTATATCTCACTAAACAGATACCACCAAAGCTGTCTTGTGTAAAATGTCAGAGATATTTAGTCAAGAGACTTAGCATGCATTCAATAGTTGAATAGCAGCTGCAAGAGCTACTGAAAGGGAAATACAGTTCTTTTTCCCATGCTGCTTCCCTTCCAGGAGCAGAGGCACACATGGCAGTGCCTTGCAAGTGTACACCCAATGCGAAGGGACATGATGCTTAAGAGGGCTCTGCATAGAATGAGGTTGTTTAGAGGGCTTCTTAGACAGTCAAGTCATGGCTGAGTGGATCTGTTGAATGTCCCTAAAAGTGGTCAAAAATTTTATAACCTGGAAAAGAGAACCAAGCCACAGGTGTTCTCTGCCATTTATGCTATAAAGTCTCCTTTGTCTTTCAGGAGGATGGAGCTCATACTGTGTGTGTGTGTGTGTGTGTGTGTGATACATATTATATATAATATTTGTATTATATATAATACATAATAATATGTTATATATTATATATTATAATAATATAATATATTTGTATTAGATATATGTGGGTGTAGGTGTGTGTGTGTGTGTATATATATATATATATATATATACTGCATGAAATGGAATAACAGAGCAGATACTTACCCCAGCCTTAATGTAAATGGGAACAAACACCCAGCCCAAGACAACCACCCAAATCAGTGCCTGAAACAAACAAAACAATAGGTAGAATCAAACCAGGAGGAACCTTAGCCCATTCTGCTATCTGCCCTCAATTACTACAGGAAAATCACCAAGCATATTCTCTTGGGGCTCTGGGGACTCCCCAAGTGGCCATCAGAAAATGAAAGAGGCCTTTGCTGCCTGATTGGCCCACAGGAATGGTAGTTAGGCAATAGCAGAGGGACCCCAGGGGGCGCCATTGACAACATAGCCCCTTTGGCCTCTTCTCAGGTTTACAAGGAGTAAAATACTACTTAGAGAACTTTTAAATAATAATAATAATGATAATGGAAATCTGGTGGTAAGAATTTCAAAACCTCCAATATGGCCAAAAGGGTACAAGAGGACTTGATTTTTAAGAGAAGAAAAAAATACTATTGCCATTATATCATTATATAGTTTTCTCACGCTACTCTGGTGGAAGTGGAATGGGACCGTGGAGCTCCTGAAGCTGTGCCCCTTTTCCATCTACATCAGAGGGAAGCCCTGGTTGATTCCCTAACACTTAGAGCATCTCTAAGCACAGATTGAACTGGCTAACTGCTAAATTTCCTTCTAGCTCCAAGACCCAGTGTCTCTGATGTTACTCACATTCCATTCAAAGCCTCCCATGGCAATGCCTGCAGCAGCTCCTGTCCCAGCCAGCCCCACAAAGTGGCCACTTCCAATGTTACTGGCAAAGAGAGATGCTCCAATCTGGAAACACAAAGAGAAAGTCTGGTAAGGATTCTATGCTCCACCAGGACACTCAAAGGTAGACCAAACAGAGAAGAGGCATGTCACCCACAAGAAGGACAAGAAAGAGCAGAGGCAGGCTGGAAACTTGACTGTATGTCTGTAGGGACCACTGATGCACAAGGTGGATGTAGGGTCTTGGGTAATAGTGAAGATGGAAAAGAGAGGATTGAGGAAGAAGCAGTGTGTATCCACAAAGTAGATCATCTGTGGATCCTTTGTCAACCCAATGGCCAATAACAAAGAAGACATGGGAAACCCCACAGCCCACTGAGCTTTCCTTATAAGACTTCCAAGAGGCTGTCTGCTCAGAAGCAGGCCCTGTGCCATTCATCTCTGTGTCCTCAACACTTCTGACATATGACCCTGACCAAACTGACTTTCAGTAAATGTGGACAGTTTTGATAAAAGGACTCATTTAAAGGAAGTCTCTGGGCCTTAGTCCTCTTACTTATTAGAGAAGGCAAGGGGTAGAACGAATGATTCCTAATTATTAAATTCTATAATCCCCACTGGATATTATATAAGACTGATGAATCACTGGCCTCTACCTCTGAAACCAATACTACATTATACGTTAATGGAATTTAAATAAATTTTTTTTTAAATTCTATGATCCCATGTGCCCCCAAGTAACATGAGATGCTACTAATAATAACTCTCTAAAACAATATAGTATTTTTATTTTTTATTTTTTACAAAGGTCTCCTAGACCCCATGGACACATGCACAAAACGCTGCATTTTTCAAGGATATACATATATCTAAATACATAGGTTAGAAGACAGGAAGGATATATATTAAAGACCCAAGATTAGAAGCCTAGAAGGAAAAAGGAGGATGAGACTGTGAATGGGAGATGAAGGAGAAAACATCCAGTAAAGCAAGAGAGGGATCTTGCACTAACCAGTCATGATACTGTGTGATCAACTCAACTGCATCTAAAGTCCAAGAGAACTCTAAAAAGTTCAAGAGTCCTTCCATACCCAGGAGGAGAGGCATAGCACCATTTGATAAGTACCAAACTAGTATAATTATCCCCATCCTTGCTGAGAAGTGGGAGAAAGTTGATAATTATTTGTCTAATATCCCTAACATGTAACAATCTGGAACAAAACACAGAATGCTATTTCCCAAAAGACAGATTACTCCAAGAAACTGTCCTAAATATATTAGCCCCTATCCCCAATATGAGGCAATGGGTGTTTAGTACCAAATAGTTTAGTTAGAGAAAAAGGAGTTCACTGAAGGCCAGGCCAGAAGGTCTCTGGAATGATAACATAATTGTATAAAAGTGCATTCATTAATTCACTCAATGAATATTAATTTGGTATCGATTCAAGTATCAAGCACTATTCTAGACCCTGGAGATTCTGCTGTGAATAGCACAGACAAAATCTCTACTCTCCAGAAGCTTGAATTCTAACAGAGGAAATATATATAGTTTTTTTAAAAAGAGAGATCAGAAAAAGGCGAGTAGAGAGGATGTAATAGAGTGACTATTTACAACTGGAGAGTCAGGAAAGATCCCTCTGTGTGGATGACCTCTAAGTTAAGACTGAAGTGATAAAAGAAGTCCATAATCCCAAAATCAGAAGGAAGGTTGTCATTGTTGAGAAGCAAAAAGAAGGCCAGATGGAGTATTGTAGGCAAGGAGGAAGGTGTTGTGAGATGTGGCTGGGAAGTCAGGCAGGCATACATCATGTAGCTCCTAGCAGGCAAGGATAGGAGGTTTGGATTTTATTCTAAGTGTGAGAAGCTACTGGAGTTTTTTAAGGAGGTAGGGGAGGCTGAGGGAGAGGGTGAGAGAGAATCTTAAGCAGGCTCCCTCCACACCCAGTACAACCCTGAGATCATGACCTGAGCCAAAATCAAGACAGATGCCTAACCAACTGAACCACCCAGGTACCCCACCACTAGAGGGTTTTAATCAGTGGAGACAGGACTTAATTTGCTTTTAAAGATTGTTCTCAGGCATGTGGATAATGTAGCGCTGGGGCAAGGGAGAAAGCAGAGAAACTGTATGTAGGCTAATGCTCTATATGCATGAGAGGACAGTGTCTTGGTCTCTGGTAATAGCAGTCAAGACAAAGGCAAGTGTAGAGATTGGAGTGTGTTTTAGAAATAAAGTTGACAGGAGTCCTGACTCTTGGAATTACCCTTAATGGATCAGATGTGGGAAATGAGGGAGAGAGTAATCAAAGGTAACTCCTAGATTCAGGACTTGGTAGGTGGATGCCATTTATTAAGGGGAAAAATGGATCCATAGAAGAGTGGATAAAGAAGATATGATTATACATATAAGGGAATACATATATATATGTGTGTATATATATATATGTGTGTGTATATATATATGTATTCTATTATATGTATAACCATGTGTATGTATATGATATATATATAATGGAATATTACTGAGCCATAAAAAGAATGAAATCTTTCCATTTGTGACAACTTGAATGGACCTAGAGAGTATGATACCAAGTAAAATAAGTCAGTCAGAGAAAGACAAATACCATATGATTTCATTCATACGTGGAACTTAAGAAACAAAACAAAGAAAAAAGAAGGGGAAAGAAAACAGACTCTTAAATACAGAGAACTAATTGGGAATTGCCAGAAGGAAGGTTGGAGGGGATGAGTAAAATAGATAAAAGGGATTAAAAGTACACTTATCTTTATGAGCACTGAGAATTGTACAGAATTGTTGAATCATTATATTGTTCACCTAAAATTAATATAACACTGTATGTTAATTACACTCGAATTTTTAAAAAGAAGAAGGAGGGGAAATGGGAGGAAAACAGACTGTTCAGAGACATTCACCTCTTTCTTGTCAAAGCTTGGTGGGGATAACAGTCCACTTTTATTTTTTATTTTTGGAGGTTAATATTTGTTAGTATGTATTAATATTTTAATTGCAATTTAAGGAACAAAGAAGAGATCCTGCCATCAACTGAAATTTTTTTAATCATCATGTTTCTTTTTTTAAAATTATGTTAACTGTTAGTTAACAGTCCACTTTCAGTCAGAATTCCCCTCTGCCTATATGAACAGACACTTCTCCAATGAAGATGTACAAATGGTATCAGACACATGAAAAAATGTTCATCATCACTAGCCATCAGGGAAATTCAAATTAAAACCACATTAAGATACCACCTTACACCAGTTAGAATGGCCAAAATTAGCAAGACAGGAAACAACATGTGTTGGAGGGGATGTGGAGAAAGGGGAACACTCTTACACTGTTGGTGGGAATGCAAGTTGGTGCAGCCACTTTGGAGTGTGGAGATTCCTCAAGAAATTAAAAATAGAGCTTCCCTATGACCCTGCCATTGCACTACTGGATATTTACCCCAAAGATACAGATGTAGTGAAAAAAGGGCCATCTGTACCCCAATGTTTATAACAGCAATGGACATGGTCGCCAAACTGTGGAAAGAACCAAGATGCCCTTCCACGGACGAATGGATAAGGAAGATGTGGTCCATATACACTATGGAGTATTATGCCTCCATCAGAAAGGATGAATACCCAACTTTTGTAGCAACATGGACGGGACTGGAAGAGATTATGCTGAGTGAAATAAGTCAAGCAGAGAGAGTCAATTATCATATGGTTTCACTTATTTGTGGAGCATAACAAATAGCATGGAGGACAAGGGGAGATGGAGAGGAGAAGGGAGTTGAGGGAAATTGGAAGGGGAGGTGAACCATGAGAGACTATGGACTCTGAAAAACAATCTGAGGGGTCTGAAGGGGCGAGGGGGTGGGAGGTTGGGGGAACCAGGTGGTGGGTACTGGAGAGGGCACGTATTGCATGGAGCACTGGGTGTGGTGCAAAAACAATGGATACTGTTATGCTGAAAATAAATTTAAAAAAGAAGAATTCCCTTCTGCCTGTCCTGGCCCATTATCCTTTTATTTATCATCTTTCACTTGATAAATTATTAAGCATAATGTTGTACTATTAAGGGCATAATTACCAGTAATGATTAACTGCATTAGATTAACCTTAAGTTCAAGAAGTCCTCTCCAACATTCCCCCAAAGAGGAACATTGGACTTTAAGCAGTTGCAGGCTTTTCTGAGGTACCCCCTTACCATCTGATAGAACGGGGATCAGGAGAGCTTTGGGGGTACCACATGTCCTGCCCAGAGTCAGTTAATTTTTGTCATGGTCACTACTATTTTCCCAGTCACTTACCCTGTCTTCATTCTGGACTTCCTCCCTTCACCCCTTGGCCTTCACTCAATCATTTACCCAAACCCTGACTCTGTCTTCACAATGTTAAAGGCATCTAGCACTTCTTATACTGCCCCTGTAAAGGCTGTGGTTATCTCTCAGTAGGCTTCTAGATGATCTCCACTCTCCCCTACCCACATGGCCGATTCCACAAAGTACAACTCTGATCAAACCACATTTCCATATTTAGAGACCCTCCCCAACCCCCAGATGGGCCTGCCAAGGCAGTCTTCCTTGAAGTTCCAGGTAGTCCTCAGGGTGCCTGGGTGGCTCAGTCGGTTAACATCTGCCTTTGGCTCAGGTCATAACCCCCAGGTCCTGGGATCCAGTGTCGCATGCATGTCTGGCTCCCTGCTCACTGGGGAGGCTGCTTCTCCCTCTCCCGCCCTCCCTCCCCGACTCATGTTCTCTCTCTCTTTCTCTCTCTCTCTTAAATACATATATAAATAGCATCTTTTAAAAATCTATTTTTTTAAATTTTTTATTTTTTCAGCGTAACAGTATTCATTATTTTTGCACCGCACCCAGAATCTATTTTTAAAAAAGATGTAGTCTTAGGAATTCAACAAGATTTCAAGTTAAAGTCCCCTCCAGTGAGAAGTTTGAAATTAAAAATTACAGTTTGAATACTTTCTTGACCTTTTACTATCTGGGTGATCATAATATCTGTGAGCTTCAATCTTCTTTCATGACAGGGTTATTCAGGAGTCA